TATCTACAGACCTCTAGATTATTCCATAATAAACAGGAATTACTACTTTTAGTGTTAAAAAAAAGATAAAATTTAAAGTGCCAGGACAGTCGGCATTGAGGCCTCACCCTGGGTTTTATGGGTTTCCTGGTCCTTCTGGTGGGCAGAGGCCACGAGGGTATGGTTTTTGGTGACCGCGGGCTGCCCGTCATGCTGCACCTGGCAGGTGAGCACCACATCTTCCCTGTGGGCGGATGAGTTCACCGGGAGCCAGCTCGTCCAGTTAAACGTCCCATCCTTGTTCTCTATGAGGTTCGAGGCCGTCGAGGCCGTTTCTGTTCGGGACACGTTTCCGTTCTCCAACCAGGTCAGCTGTAGGCGCTGGGGGTAGAACTTCTTCACTTGGCAAGTGACCTTCACCTGGTCCCCTGCCACGGGTTCCTGGGAAACCTCCAAGGTGGGCGGAACTGAAAGAGCACAGAGCAGAAGCTCTGACCTCATGGAATAGACCGACCACGGGGGAGGGGCTCGAGACCTCAGCTCCCCCCACACAGCAAGGGAATCACCCCGAACAGGGCTAGGCATGCAGCTGGTGCTCAAACACGGAGGGTAGTCTTTGCATATGAATGAAATCCTTAAGCACAGTGCCCAGCACACAGTAGGTGCTCAAGGACTGGTAGCTCCTATTAGGGTAAGAATGAGTGAAATCAAGATACTCAGCCGGTGGCATGCAGCCGGAATAGAATAACTAGCAAAATAAATGACATCACCAAGCACACAGTGGCGAGGATTACAGCAGATGCTCAATAATTGGAATTGTTTTGGTAAAGTAAATGAACTACCCAGCACAGTCCTTGGCACATGATAGGTGCTCACCCCCCAGCTGCCATGAAAAACCATAGGAGGGAACATACATCTAGGTGCAGGGTGACTGGGAGGGTCTGTCAGGAGTCAGACTCCAGGCAATGGAAGGCCTGGGGCAGAGAGTGCGGGGAGGGGCAGGCTCGAAGACTTGGGGGCCAGACCCCGGCTTGGGCTGGGGGTGAGGGGCATCTACCTCGGAGGACCTCAGACAAGTTGGCAGTCCCACGAAGAGGAGGGCCCCCCTGCAGGGTCACGTGGGTCACCTCGCAGATGACCTGGGAGCGAACGTCCCCCGGGGCCAGCACCAGCCTGGTTGTGCTGGAGATACTGTAAGAAGTGCTGTTTCCCTCCGGGTCCACGGTAATCTGGGAGGCTGCCAGCTCATTCCCGTTTTTGAACCATCTCAGGGTGATGTTTTTGGGGGAGAAGCCGTGGGACTTGCAGGTGAAGTTGACGGTCTGCTCAGGCGAAGCCCTGGCCGTGGGACCCGACACCACGGGGGGAGAGGGTTTGGCTACAAGAGGAGCATTTATGAATAGTAAGCATGACTGTAGTCATCAGCACTAAGGATACGTGTGTGACACTGTGGAGAACCCTCCGCCCTTCTGATCGTGTGGGGAGGGCCGTGTCATCTCCTCATCCCACAGAGGAGGAACCGAGGCTCCAGAACTGAACTCTGAGTCAGGGAGCAGGGCCCAGGTGCAGTTCCAGGCCTGAGTTCAAGTCCCCCTTCTGGTCTCTGCCAGGTGACTTCCCACCGATCTGGGCACAGGAACGACATTTCTGAAGGGTCTCACTCTTGGTATCAACCATCCTAGCCGCCTCCCTGCAAACCTCACTGAGTTCAGAGAGCCTGTGCAGCAGTCCATGCAGGGGAAGCAGGGGTGGGGCGGGACCCCCATGGAAGCCGGGACCAGGCTGGCCAGTCCACGGGAGGCGTGGCCATGGCACCGCGTGGCTCTTCCTCTGTGACATGGGACAGCATGCCTTTCTCCTTCCCAGGATTGCAGGGAGGGGCAAGTAAGGGAATGCAAGCAGTTTTACTTTGAGTAAAACACTGACAATGCTTCTCAGAACCAAACAAACACAGATCTATCTTTATCCCAAACCTAATTCACACCCAGAGCCCTCCGCTCAGGTATTTATGAATTTACTTTAGTTTTCACTCTCTCCACAAATATTCCATAGGGTCTGATCTGTGCCATCCCTGAATCCAAGAGGGAGGGAATGACGGGATGTTTCTCTGAAACTGCGTTCTTCTCTTGGGTCCGTTTTGGGTTGAAAACCAAGATTGCTGAGTGCTGAGAAAGCCCAAGTTGGTTAATTTCTTAATCGTGAATTAATTTCAAGGACAGAGACACGGGACTACAAGCAGGGAGAAGCCGTCCTGCATCCTGAAAGCACACACACATCAGTGAATCAAAAAGGGGGGGGATGCCCTTCACCCAGAGAAGGTCCTATAGGGTATCTCCAAATTGTTAATTATTACCCAAAACCTTCCACAACAAACACAGAAAATATTACAGATATTCACATTTGTAAATATTTAACTTGCTTCCTAAAACACATCAAACATATTGAGGTCACGTGAACAAGTGAAGTCATAAAATCACCAGCAGCCTGGATGCCCCTAGAGGGACAAGGTGCTGGGCTCAGTTACCACTCATGGGCAGTGTCTTAGGGACCTGACACTGGGCTGATTCCTCCTTGCCCCTCAGTTCCTTCATCCTTGATTCATTTTAGCTGCTCTGTTTTTCCTTCCTGCACCTCCGTGTCTGTTTTGGTACAAAGTGGGTCAAAACACCACCTCGGTGACATGTGAGGATGTATGTAATAAAACGCAGAACCTGGCGGGGCGCCTGGGTGGCTCAGTCGTTAAGCGTCTGCCTTCGGCTCAGGTCATGATCCTGGGGTACTGGGATCGAGCCCCGCATCGGGCTCCCTGCTCCACGGGAAGCCTGCTTCTCCCTCTCCCACTCCCCCTGCTTGTGTTCCTTCTCTCACTGCGTCTCTCTCTGTCAAATAAATAAATAAAATCTTAAAAAAAAAAAATAAAACGCAGAACCTGGCATACAGTAGGTGCTTAATAAACAACACCGATGATTATTATCATAAGATCTGTTCGTGACTACTTCTGATACTACCTATTTGTCCTTTAGGCCGTAAGAAGGCAAAACCAAAGCTTAGCGGGAACACAAGAAGAGTCCCAAGGCCTGCCATGCAAAACCCCAAATGAGAAAAGCAGCAGAAACCAGCAAAGTATGATTCTCTCCCTCTTCTTTTAATAATCCCCTCAGGAAACAAGTTTGGCGAACTGGCTTTCAAAACACGAAGGAGATCACAGGCGTATTCCTGCAGATTAGCTATTTACAGAAAGCTGGGAGCATTTCGAAAGAGGGAGGACAGATTTTGGCGGTGACATTTGGGGTGTGTTGAGGCAGGGAGGGCTCTGGGGCTGAGCGGCGAGTCTTTGCGGGGACTCCGGCCCGTGTTCAGATGCACGCATGCTGAAAGATGGGAAGGTCCCCTAGCTGTGAAGCTCGGATCTGAGCAGGGTGTCGGCTGCCCCTCCCTGGGCCGTAGGGCAGGGAGCAGCTCGGCCCCAGGCATGCTCCTTGGGAGGGTGTCCAGGCCACTCCATTCTGGCTCATTTCCCAAACAGCTGTCGCGGGCACGGGCTCTCCTGAAACATCCACCCACCACAAATCTCCTCTCCCAGCCCCAGGAGCACAAGGAGGAAAACAATTCAGGGTTTCCTCTGTGACCTCGGGGAACATCCAGCTTAGGGCTCTTCAGCCCGGGCAGAGTGGTTAAAAAATTCACCTGCCCGGGTTCATGTCTGACAAAATAAGTCAGAATATCTAGGGGGGAGCCAGGGGCTGGGGATCTTTTTTTCCCAGGTGATTCTAAATGAGCAGCCCAGATTGCAAGGCACCCAACGTCACCCTCCAAACCCCACTTACATTCGAGGTCTGGGAGGAAGAGTGACCGGGCCAAGGTCCTGTGGCTCGGGCATATTCTAGCTACATTCCTGGGACACTGACCGCGTGCCAGGCCCTGCTGTAGGTGCTTTAAGGCATTCACTCATTCAGTCCCTGCAGCGGCTCTGTGGGGTCAGGAGGTCGCAGACAGACAAGGACACCCGGCCCAACGTGTGGGTGACTTGTCAGAGGTCACAGAGCAGGGGAGGCAGAGCTGGGTGGGATCCCGTGCAGTGCGGCTTGGCCATGCTCTCGGCCGCTGTGTACGGATGCCCAAGAATCGCCTAACCCCCACATCCGGGGCCTCCTGGATCTCCTCTCCAATCGTCAGCCCCCTGACCAGCAGCCTGATTATCCCCAGGTCACAGATGGGACACGGAGGCCCCTAGGGAAACGGAGACTAGCCCAGGATCGTACAGTTCTGGGAGGAGCACCCAGGGCTCACTGAGGGTCTGTCCCCTCACCCGGCTCTCTGTGGTCTCCTAACATCCTGCCGAGGCTGGCGTGATGACCCACTTTCTACAGGTGAGGCAACAGAGCCCAGCAAGGGGAGCCGGGTCACAACCCTGAAGGCACACCTAGATTTGGGGCCACCTCCTCTGTGCCGGGGATGCAGACAGAGTGCCTCAGATCCTTCCAGATCTCCGAAAAGGAGTCCATGATATCACCATTTTACAGGTGAGGAGACTGAGGCTGAGGGAAACCAAGGGGCTCCTCCTCACTCCCCACTGTAACCCCGGGGGGGATTTCCCGTGGCCCCTAGCCTTCACATTCACAACAGAGCACCTTCTTTAGCCCAACAGTGACCACCACCTTCCTTGTCCCTCTGACATTCTCCACTGCAAGCACTTATGGGGAGGGGTCCCTCTGGGTGCCCAGAGCTGCTGACCCTGTAGCAACTGAGGGAAGATGTAGGGTCCCAACAGCTGAGTCTAGAGTATGAACCCTTGCTCAAAGGGCTCCAGACACCCACCGGGAAGTGCCTCCCCATCATCCTCAGTGTGCAGAGCCAGAAATGGGGTGCCTGGTGTTGCTGGGATTGCGGGGGCCCCTCTGCTCTATCCAGGCCACTGCCCCAGGCTGTTCAGTGAAGGAGCAACATCACACAACGGGGAAAGACCCTGATGTTCTTATGTATGTGGAACCATGGCCTCCAGGAACAGGCTCAACACTTCATCAGATGTTTGCATATCTGTCTGATCTGGGGGTGCAAAGCTAACCTACCTCCCCCCAAGGACTCTTCTTTTTAACGCGTGTTGTTGAAGAACAGAATACAGTATTTTAAAGGAGAGGGCTGTACCATTCTGAACCTCTGGAAAAATGATGAAAAGGAGAAATACTGGCTCCCTGTTCAAAGGGTCAGTGTAACTTAGTTTTATTCAGCACCTACTATGTACTAGGCTCTTCCATGGAAACGGTATCCAAAGCTGGGGCAGGAAGAAACCTGCCAGGAATCAGATGGGTTCTGGAACAATCTCCTCACTCACTGGATATATGAACATGAGCAAGACCCTGTCATCTCGTGACAGGCTCTGAATGTGTACATGGGGGCTGGGCTGGATGGGGTCTTTGCGTGCTGACAGCCCAGGGTTCCAGATCGTGGGCCCCTGGCAGAAAACCCTAAATGATCATCTTTGCGTCAACGGGACAACCCTATTCACCCACATAGGCCCGTCTTCCCTGGGTGAGGACATTCTGGATGCCCCAGGTCTGCTCAGAGCCTGCAGCGACTGTGTAAGTTGGTCCCTGAACCAGGCTCCATTGTTTCTGGACAGACCCACAGCAAAAGCCCAACCTCTGGCATCTCTTCCAACCTGGGCTGTCAGAGTAAACAGTGCGTCTGTACCTCTCAGGAATGTCTTTTCTGTGTGATGTTTCTGAAGATGAAATAAAGAAACACGTTCTTCCTTCTCTCTGCCCTGGATGGGTCTGTCCTCGTTGGAACAGAAGGGAACGTAAGCTTCATGAGAGAGGAGCCCTTGCCCGTTTTGTTCCCTGCTGCTTCCCTAGCACCCTGCATAGAGCCTGCACACAGCAGGTGCTCAGTAAGTGCTGAGTAAAGAGAAGAGTCACCCACATGGAGGGGGTGCTCTCTGGAGGTAAGAGTGAGGTGGGACCTTCTGACTGGGCAAGTCACTCAGACTATTAGTCCCTCATCCCTGGAACCAGAGGGCTGGTCAGGATAGAAAAAGGTGAGAGCTGTGGAGCCCTCAGACTGGGGTTCTAGATTTTCTCACCATTTATCAGCTGTGGGGCCTTGAGCAAATAGCATGACCTCTCCAGGCCTCAACTTCCCTGATCTGTGGAAGGGGCTGAAGTCAGGGGCACCCACCCCAACACCTGATTCTTAGCTGTTACTCAGACAATGGAGGGCATTCTTATTCACTGGTTGTCATAACCAGGGGACAAAGAGGCTCAGGCCATACTCACCGCTCACTATGAGTTGGGTGCCTGGTCCAGACTTAAACTCCACATCAGGGCTCCCTTTCTGGAACTTCACACAGTAGTAGGTTCCGGTGTCTGCTGGGGTGATGTTACTGATGCGGATGGAAAAGTCCGTGGTGTTTCTCTTTGTGGTATCTGAAACATTTGTCACTCGGGGGTAGCGGCCTCCTCTGAAACTGAAGATTAACTCCCGGGCTGGCCCTGTTCCCCTGAACCACTCAACCGGCCCAAAGGGGAACAGGGAGGTCAGGGTGCAGCGCAGAGTAGCTGTCTGTCCGGCTGCGACAGACACTGACTTCTCAGGCTGGATCACCTGCAGCTCCGTCTCACCTGCCACACCTGGAGGGAAAACAAAGATCATCCTGACGTGATCCTGGATGTCTCCTCACGTGTGTATCCACAACAGCTCACTGACTGAGTGCACATCGTGAGCGGGCCTTGAGCTCGGCACGTTGCATGCACGTGGCATGCAGCCCTCACCATGAGCCTGTAATGTGAGACCCCATCACAACCGAGGAAACTGAGGTTCATGACGTGCCAGGGAGCAGGCTGGAGGTCCTGAGACCTCTCCGGAAGAGTCATGTCTGAGCTGAGCTCTGAACTTCCCAGGATGTAAGGGGCACAGTGTTCCTGACAGAGGGCACAGCAGGGCAGGGGCTCAGAGGTGGGGGGCAGCACGGTGTGCATGGGGCTCTATGGGGAGCTTAGGTTCTTTTGGGCCTGGCCCAGGAAGCAGGCCCCGAGCAGGGAAGCCACACCCAGCAGCTGGGGCTCGTCCAGGCTGTGGAGTCATGAGGCAGGAGGACTTGGATTTGAGTCCTGGCTCAGGCCTTACTGCTCCATGACTATGGCCATCACTTGGCCAAGAACATCCAACAGGATGTGGATGTGGATGGGAGTGCTGCCCTTAGTCTGAGCAGGTCCCTCCATGGCTCTCGAGCCTCAGTTTCCTCATCTGTCAGTCAGGTACTGTGACCCCATCTCGATGGATCTCTGGCAGGACCAAACAACAACCCTGGCCAGGGACAGCGTCAAAAAGAAGCATCTGGTCTTTGGAGCCATCTGAGCCGGTGTGAAACCTGGCTCGCCTTTTATTCACACATGACCCGAGTTTATCCCTTGGTTTTGAGACTCGGTTTCCTTATCTACAACATGGGTAGAGCATCCCCTAGCCCTCTGCTTTCTTCTGAGAAGAAAATGCCAAGACACATAGAAGTTACTTAGCACCATGTGGGGCACAGGGAAGCTACTGTCATCACACAACAAATAAATGGGGCGGGGGGATCTGTTGTGCGAACTTCCCTCCCACCCTTGCTAATGCACCTGCAGGCCAGGCCATCCTGGATGCTGGGGACACACAGGGGCTGGATGCATGTCAGGCCTCAAGGGCTCCGGGCTGGGTAGCTGGAAGGCTTCCTAGGCGTGGTGAAAGGGAGGGGCCTGAGCCCCAAACTGGAGAGCAGTGGGGCATGTGAGGCAGGGGCTCCGGACAGAGGACATGGTGGTGGGGGGTCGGGGGGACACAGCCAGGAAGGTGACCAGGCAGTGGGAAGCTGCTGAGAGAAGCCGCCGAGATACTCAGGTCACAGTGCACCCTGGGCCCGATTCTGACCCAGGTCGGGGTGGGGGAGAGAGGAGCGATCATAAAGCCCTTGGAGAAACACAGAGGCCAGGAGACAGACACAGGCTGAGGGAGAGGTGGACAGGCAGGGACAGTGAGGAGGGGCATGGAGTACGGGAAGAGAGAATAAGAGACAGACCTGGGGTCGTGGCAACCGGTGCAGGTACTGACGGTCAATCTGTCTCCTCCTGGTCACTCACTGACCCGCAGTGTGACCTTGTCCTATCCTGACACCTTGTCCTAGGCCACCTTTGCCCTGTACACCAGACAGGGGGCCGCCGATGCCCTCTGGCTCCAGCTGGGCAGGAGAGAGCTGGGAATCTGCCACCGGCCCGTGGCCTGGCACCACCTGCTGGCAGGGGCAGGGCGCCCAAAGGCTGGGAAGCCCACGGACTCCAGTCTGTCCTCGCTGCTGGCAAGCCCAGGGCCTCAGAACAGGCCTCTCTACCCCTGTGCCCATTGTCCCAGGCCTGACTCCCGGGCTGGGGGTCACCCGGTTCTCCTGGCGAGTGCCCGAGAGGCAGAGCTTCAGCCAGACGGCGGCCTGACCCTCCCTGTGCAGGGAGGAATCCAGAGCCCACAGAGGGCAGGGGCTCAGGGTGGAGCTGGTGGCCAGGTGTGGGACAAGCACATGGAGGAGGCCCCCAGAGGCAGCCGGCCACCCCAAGACACCACAAGTCGCTACCAGCAGCATGCAGCCAAGAACACCCCCAACGGGTCTGCTTTCCAGCACCGGCCACTGGAGGAACTGGAAATGCTGCTTGGGGAGAGCATAGGCACTGGTTCCCCTCTTAGCCGGCCATCACTTGGGCCAAGAACATCACTCGCACCCGCTCAACACCTGCCCTCCCTGGGCCTCCATCCCATCATCCTCAAAGTGGGGGTACCGGCGTCCACCCCCCAGGACTGTCCTGAGCACTAGGACACAGTGGGACATAAGCGCTTGCCTTGTAGGGGCTGGGTAAATTTTAGTTTCTGCTCCCGTTATTATCACAGATACATTTATATACTTGATTGTCATGTTTCCCCCCAACCAGGATGTAGCATCCACAAGGAACTGTTTCCAACCCCCTGCCTAGAACTGTGTCTGGCACACTCCGGGCCCTCAATAACTACGCGCTCAATGAACGCACTCATGAATGAAGGAGGGACTGCATTTGCTCCCGGGCAGAGCCCCTCTCTGAGTCTTTGCTCATCTGTCGAATGGAGCTGCCACAGGCATATACAGGAGATGGCATGAGCTGGGAGCCCGGGACTGCGCCTGGCACAGCCCCCCCAGGCATACGGAATAGATGCCAGTTATTATTATCCTTATCAATAACATGGTGCAGGGCCGTGAGTCAGCAGCTGGTGAGGGGAGCGGCGTGAGCAGGAGATGGTTGCAGAACCAGGCGTGCAACGTGTTGGAGCAGGGCTATTCTTGGGGTGCAGCCGGAGGCCTGTAATCACACCCCAGGCAGGCGACAATAAAATCTGGAGTTGGGGAGGGCTGGCCCCCCCTTTTTTTAGCTCCTCTTGAGCTCTCTCCACCACTGCAGCCAGATTTAGGTGGCTTAATTAATTAGCTAGTGTTTATAAAGCGTTTGAAGAATTTTAAAAGTGCGACGTAAGTGCCAAATATTATTTTAATCTGTGTATATGTGTGTTTTTTCCAGCAGAGAGGGTTTTTTTTCCCTTGCTTGCTTTGCTTCTCTTTTTCTCGGCAGGTTCTGTTCTGGGAACCGGGCTTGTTAAAAACCACTGCTGCGGTTCTGGGCCTGGGGTCATCATGCTGGCATCGCGGACAAAACCATTTCCTGCTCTCTCCCTGCCCTCCCTGGCAAGGGAGAGCTGCGGTCCAGGGGCTTGAACCATCTCTGGGAGAGTAGGGCGGCTGGGCAGGCATTCTTGCATGCTGCTGGTGGGAGTGGAAATTGGAACATCCTCTTAGGAAGGCAGTTTGGCAGGATGTACCAAAGGTGTGAAAGCTGTTCACCAGCCTTTGCAGGGCTGTTCCGCAAGGACATAACCCCAAACTGGGCATGGGGTTCCCACATGATGATCTTGAAAAAGCTGGGGAAAAAACCCGGGCGGCCCGTGAGAGGCGATGGCTAAGTGAATTACGGCCTATCCCCTACGTGGACTTACACGGAGGCCTAAAGAGGCACCACCATGAAAACTGGTAATCTGGACATTTTTTGCAGGGCATAATTATAAATGATATTGTGATTATGCAAATAAAACCTGTTCATTGCAAAGCATTTAGAGAAAATGAAGAAGTATAAAAACACAACAATAATCTCCTAGATTACCATCAAAGGTAACTGCAATCCACATTTTGATGTCGTTAAAATATGAGTAAAAACAATGTAAAATCATACTCAGATAACTAAGAATATGAGCAAACATTTTGCTTTGTTCACTCAGGTGTTCTTAAAAAATAACAAGTTGGAAATGTCCTAATGTCCAAGAGAAGGAGACTGATAGATTCCGTGATGGTGACGCCACACGAGGACTGAGTCTACAGCCATTAAAAATGATGGTGTAGAATGACAAATATCAACGCAAAAATGTATTATGAGATCAGTTACCGAGTGGCACATTCAGTGTGATCTCAGACTGCTAAGTTAAAAAAAAAAGTGCATATTAAAGATTAGCAGTGGTTAATTCTGTAATAGATTTGCAAGGGATTTTGTTTTTATGTTTTCCGTTTGCATGACTTGTGCAATAAAAAAATAAGAAAAACTGTGCTTTCGGTATGATTATGACTTTGTAAAATAAAATAAAACTATATTTAAATAAACAACAGCAAGGTACTACATATACAAGGCTATAAAACGCCAACTGTCTCTGGATCATGAATCTAACTAAAACTGAGGGGTTTTTCCTTCTATTTTTGGGTATTTTTCAGATTTCCTAAACTGGATGAGTATTGAATATTTATAGTATTCTATTTCATAATAAGAAAAATCTCTACATCTAATACCTATGTTATATATCATGTTTACTGTTTAAATAAGCCTCCCCTCCAGGAACCTTGTCTGTTTTGTTCACTGCTGCTTTCCCCCAGCTCCTGACACGGTGCTCGGCACGGACTCGACGCTCGAGAAACTGTCTGCAGATACTGACTGATCACTGGAATGTCTCGAGAAAACGATCTAGCGTGACAAACACCATGATGCTGAGGAGCGCCATGTCCGGGAAATGAGGCCAGGGGTTGGCCCATTTTCTTTTTCACTCTAGAGTAAACAATATATTAAAATCTTATGTCTTCAGTGAACATTTACTCCTTTTGGAACAAAATTAAAGTCGTGAAATAAAACCTGCGAGTAAGTTCCCTAACAGAAGCAGTCAGCGCAGTGGGTGGTGACGGCCCCCTGGATCTGTTGTGAGACAGCCTGGAGGCCACCCTCAGATTTCCACAAACTCAAGGAGCCCAGGGGCCTGGGAGGCCATGGCCAGAGCTCTGGCCGTGCCGGGGCCTCAGGACCCCGTGAAGGCGAGCCCACACCCGGGCCCCGCAGCAGGGGCGCTCAGTGGCCCCTTCCCGGACCACCGTCGCTCCTGGCCCTCCTTGAGGGGGGCTGCTGGTTTATGACCCCCACACAAACCTTGTCAGGGGCTGCCTTTGGCGTCTTCTGGGCTATGATTTAAGGGTTGTGTTTGACAGCGTGCAATGCAGGAGTGTGGATGAGCGTGCACACAGGAGCGAAGGAGCAGACGCAGGAGTGTGCACACA